TTCCACGCTCCGCGGGGAGGGTAGGAGCGAGCAGCCCACACGGTGTGTGGTCTCCACCCCCCCCACTACCACGGAGGGTCCCCACCCTGGAGATCATGCTCTGTGCCACGCGACGCGCCGTGGGTGGCATCACCCACAGTTGACAGACAAGTGAAGTTGAACTAAAAACAGCAGGTCCCCTGGAGTGTCACACAGCAAGTAAGAGACACAAAAGGCCTCACCACGGGAGAGATCAAACGTTATGCTCCTGTCATCCTGCCCTGGAGCAGTTAAGTCCCTGAGCTGTGAGCTGACCCAGTGTCCTGCCTGGTGTCCCTGGAGACCTGGGTTACCGTCTGTGTAGTGAAGGCACACGGCCCTTCCAGTCCCACCTCTAGTCTAGCTCTGTGCTGAACCGCAGGCGTGGGCAGAACAGGCTGTGCACCTCCAGCGCCCTCAGACCCCACTCGCGGCCTGGTTTGACCGTGAGCCCCTGCTGTTCCGGCAAAGCCTTACAGATGCGGTCTCACAGTGGTGGAGATTAGCGGCAGTGGCCGCCCTAGTCTACTTAGGGTGCTGGCTGCCGGGTTAGAGGATCCGGGTCTGAGCTCCATACCCCACAGCCACGCGCAACCTCCTGTAGTTGCAGATTCATGGATCCGATGTGCTCTACGGGCACAGGGTGCGCACTTGTGCACAGACACAAACTTATAAATAACGTTGTCTAAATGTTTAAAAAGCCAGGTGTGATGACACAGACCTGGGGAGGCAAAGGGAGCTTAGTCTTTGTGAGTTCGAGGCTAGCCTCGTCTACATACTGCATTTCAGGACTGCAGGGCTCCACAGAGAGAAACTGTCTCGCAAAATCAAAAGTTAATAAAGATTAAAGCTGGGCTGGAGAGATGGCTTAGAGGTTAAGAGCACTGGCTGCTCTTCCAAAGGTCCTGAGTTCAATTCCCAGCAACCACACGGTGGCTCACAACCATCTATAATGAGATCTGGTGCCCTCCTCAGATGTGCAGACAGAACACTGTATACATAATACATAAATAAATCTTTAAAAAAGTAAAGATTAAAGCTGTCGCCATAGGCATCTTCACAGGCTTTCCTGATAAGCCCTGGTTTTACCCCAAATATGAAGATGTGCTCACCCTCAGGACGCAGGACCGAGCCTTATTTGAGGAGATCAGTCTCTCCTTTAAAATTAGCTAAGTTCAGAGAAGACTGTGCTGAGCTTCGGGCAGACATGGAATATTCTAGAATAAAGAGGCTCAGCTTGGAATTGGGAGAAGGGGGTGTGCCAGCCATTGGTATGCAGCTCCTGTTCCGGTATCCAGGCTTCATCTCCTTAGGGTGGGCTTGTGGTCCGGGTACCGCTGACGACATGTGCCTGCTACAGGTCCCTGTCTGGTCCGAGGGAGGCGCCCTGGCTACTGCCTCCGATTCCCATCTAGCCCAGCCCACTCCCGACAAACCCGTGCAGCCTCCAGTGAGTCCCCGTGCTTCCCAAGATGGTAACCAGACACCTCAAGTTTGTGGGGGCCTCGGTAGCAGCGGTCCCAAGGATTGAGTCTCAAGTTAACTGACTGGTTTTTATGTCTTTGAGACAGGGTCTCACTGTACCCTTGGAACTCTACATAGCCCAGGCTGTCCTCGAACTGTGTACCCCATATCCGAAGCGCCTGGATGACAGGCTAATGTCACCACAGATAGTTCTATTTGTGGTTTGCCCCCCCCCACCACAGCTTTAGCCTCATGTAGGTCAGAGGACACTGGTATGTGCCACCCCCACCCCCACCCGTCACAGCCCGGATCAGGTGCTCAGAGCAGATGTGGCCTGGCCAAGTTCATGGTTCTCAGTTCTTGACCATACTTGGGCAAGACACTGCCTCGCTATTAATAACCTGGCGGCGAGCCCATAGCGAGGCTATAAAGCCAAGCCTGCAAGCCTCCGGCGGCTCCTTCAACCCCTGAGATCTTAAAAGTAAGTACCCAACCACCTCCCCGGGGTCCTTGGCCCTCACCGAGGCTTCATGCGGCCATGGTGACCCCAAAAAGTAAAAGAAAGAATTGTGTTAAAGTGAAGGATGAGTGAAACACAGACCCTGACGGCCCCAGCGGCTTCTGGGACAATGGACGGAAGGGAAAGGTGACATGCAACAGGGTGGAGAGCCAGGGGCACTCCCGTCCCACCCAAGTGACCCCAACAATGCATGCGTGTCTTGGTGTGGGTGGTGAACAGCTGAGGGACCAAAGAGGGGACCCCCTCTGTCCCCAACCCCAGCTCTCCCTGGGTCCAAAGCCCCTGACCTTCTGTAGTCTAAAGTCACCTTGATTTTGGTTTGTTTTTTTCTGAGACAGGGTCTCTCTGTGTAGCCCTGGCTGTCCTGGAACTCACTCAGTAGACCAGGCTGGCCTCAAACTCACAGAGATCCGCCTGCTTCTGCCTCCTGGCTAAAGGCATTTTGTGGCTGTCCACAAGTATATGTGTCCCCAAATTCCACCTCTGTCCACCTTGCTTCAGACCTGCTGGCTGGGGAAGCGAGATGCGACCTTCATGTCTGAGATTGCTTGCAGTCTCTAGAGTTGGCCCAGTGGATTTGGGGAGCCAGCATGGGGACATCTGCAGTTGGTAGCTTCTGTCTTTTCTGTCGGCCCCTCCCCTCTGTCCTTGGCTGGTTCTCCACTCAGCTCTGGGGCTGCCCCCCTTCTCTGGCCCTTGGGGACCTTATGTCTGGAGTGCGGTGCCCTTTGGCCCAGGTGGGGCTCAGGGGTATAATGCTGACTGAGATCTCTGCTGAGTGCGAACGGATGTCAGAGACAGGTGGCTGCGCTGACACCCACCTCCAGGTCCTGACCAAACTGTCACCTCAGCCCCTGTGATGGTTATTCGGACTCGGGGTGTGTGGGGTTGGGTGGGGTGACAGTCCTAGGACTGGGTGGTTGGGCAAGGCACTTGGGCTCTCTGAGCTGGGAAGTCAGCCCAGTGGATAAAGTATTTACCTAAGATGTGTGAAGGCCTGGGTTCAAATCCCCAGGACTCGAGTAAAGATGGACACAGTGGCTCCCGGTAGACCAGATGGCAGGTGGAGATGGGGACTCCAGGCAGGGGACCTTATATATGCCAAGCTCCTTGGTACCCGGGGATGACTTAGCTGACTCCTGACTCCGGGGCTGGTGAGCGTCTGTGTCAGCAGTGACTCTTACTGGAGACTGAGGAGCCTTGGGCTCATTGTGTGAGAATGTCTGGTTGGGTGCTCTGTGTGGGATATCCTGGACTCTGGAGTGTGCTGAGCAATGTCCCTGACCCCACCCGCTCTGTGCCTGGAGCTCCCCTAGTATGACATGTGTTTCCAGACATCACCTGGGACCCTCAGGAGAACACAGCCACCAACCTGAGATTTTTTTTTCTTTTTTGAGATAAGGGTTTATGTAGCCCAGGCTAGCCTCCAACTCACTGTGTAGCCAAGGCTCCTGCCTCAGCCTCTGAGCGAGTGCTAGGATGATAGACTTGTGCCAAAGTGCCCATCCTGAGCCACCTTTCTGTAACAGACCTTGGACAAGGGTCTCCGCCTCCCCTGAGCCGGAGCATCCTTGACTACGGAAAAGCAACACTCTCTGTTCCTCTGAGCTACAATATTGGGGTGACCTGTGTCTGTTCCGGACTGTCCCATCCCTCAGTTAAGCTGATGACGTCTAGGGTGTTTGCAGGGAGCTTGTGTCTGAGTGGGTGGTAGGATACCACTGACGGCCCTGGGCTGGCTAACTCTGCTAGGACAAGGCTGATGTAGGTGGGTGTCTCTGGCACCCTCTGTCGCTCTGGGAAGGCTGTGAGGAGCTTTTCCAAGCAGAGCAGAAGTGCACATTGAGGTCCTGCTTGCCCGGCAGGGGAAGACCACAGACCTGGGTTCAAATTCTGACTGTTGTGTGATCCCAAGCAAGCAGCTCTCTGTCTCTGAGCTCTGCAGATATGGGACATGCAATAAACCAACCTTAAAACACAGCCCCCCCACCCCCCAGTGTGCTGAGGACAAGGTGGGTGGTCCCTATAAATGAGGAATGTTCTGGGGAGACTGAGCAAGCTGCTCTCAGCATTTAAAAACATTCTTGCTACATTTGTGTTTGCATGTGTATACATGTGCTATGTGTGGGTGTGTGTTTATGTTTGGTTTTTCTCATGGGTATGGATGTTTTGCCTGCATTTTTGTCTGTGCACCACGTGTGTGCAGTCCCCACAGAGACCAGAAGGGGGCATCTGGTCCCCTGGAGCTGGAGCTGTAGATGGTTGTGAGCCACTGTGTGGGTGCTGGAGACTGAACCTGGGTCCTCTGCAGGGTGGCCGGTGTGCTAACCATGAGCCACTGCTCCAACTCTCTAGTTCATTCTTTATTCCATGAATCATGTCCAGGCTGTTTGTGAGGCTGCCCTGAAGCCACCTCTGCCTTGTCCCTGTCTCAGGCTGAATTATTTTGGGGACAGTGACCAGATGAGCCTGATCACAGAGCGTGCCTGGGACAAAGGCCAGGGGTTGGCAAGTGCCATAAGCTGCTCCAGTCCTGCAGGTCATGGGGACTTCACTGTCCTCCTGTCCCTGAAGCTGTGACCCTACAGTGCATCCTGCCCCTTGTCGGTCATGTGACCTCCGCAGAGGGGGAGATGATAGATGTCTTCAGTATTCCAGGCAGGTGTAAGTGTCTCACAGACACTGGGCAGGGTGAACCAGGGTAAGGGGAAGGTATGCAGGGGCAGGATGGGGGTTTAAGACCAACCGAGCAACAGGTGCCTCATTCCAAAGCACAACAAAGTAAAACACCCTTAGGTTTGAAGTCTGTAAAATTTAAGTGTTAGAAAATGGAATTCAGTCGGGTGGTGGTGGCGCACGCCTTTAATCCCAGCACTTGGGAGGCAGAGGCAGGCGGATCTCTGTGAGTTCGAGACCAGCCTGGTCTACAAGAGCTAGTTCCAGGACAGGCTCCAAAGCCACAGAGAAACCCTGTCTCCAAAAACAAAAAAAAAAAAAAAAAAAAAAAAAAAAAAGAAAAAGAAAAGAAAATGGAATTCAAAAGCCAGGCAGTGTTGGCACACACCTTTAATCCCAGCATTTAGGAGGCAGAGGCAGGTGGATCTCTGTTAGAGGCTAGCCTCATCTACAGAGGGAGTTCCAGGATAGCCAGGTTTACACAGAGAAACCCCCTTTCAACCCCCCCACAAAAAGGAAAAATAAATTGGAATTCACAGGAAAAGAAATTTGAATTCACAATTTATTTTATTGCATTTATATTATTTTATTATCAGACAGAGCTTCATGTAGTCAGAGACCTCAGAGTTGCTGTTTAATAGAGTACCCACACACCCATCCATCCATCCATCCATCCATCCACCCACCCATCCATCCACCCACCCACCCACCCATCCATCCACCCACCCACCCACCCATCCATCCATCCACCCACCCATCTACCCATCCACCCATCCACCCATCCACCCACCCATCCATCCACTGTCACATTATTTCCTATATGTAATTGGGATACCACAGATGACCATGAGGTGTCGCACTCAGGCCAATTAATGGACTCTGCAGCCTCCTCCCCCACACATTCACATCCCAGCGTCAGCAGGATGCTCTGAGCCTCGGTTTTCCCTTTCATGAAGTGCACACAAATAATAAAACGTCACCCTCAGGCTGCCACCATGGCTCAGGAGGTGTCTGATTGATAGGTCCCAGACCAGTCGGTGTGTGCTTTGGGGCTACCGTGGGAGATTCTGGATAATCTTACAAAGTGAGAATTGGCTTTGGTGCTAGAACAGGGTGGAGGGAGGCTCGGATGGGAGACTGAAGGTCTCAGGACTCCCTCAAGAACTCTAGACTCTCAACCTTCAGTCTTGGCTGAACATACCTAACCTTGCTGTGTGACCTCTCTGTGCCTGTCTAGATTAGGGGCAATAATTTCCCTCTTCAAGTTCATAGAAAATGTCTCCGTTGGGGAAAATGAGGCACGTTAGCAAGGTTGAGGCTGACAGTGTCCAGTGCTCTTGGCGTCAACCTCGGGCCAGCGAATAGCGCTGGAGGGAGGGTGGGTTCATCTATTCATGGAGACCACAAGGCACCAGAGGTTAAAAAACACAGTTCAGTTTAATGGTGAGTTGCTGCCGTGGCTCAGTGTGGGGGGGACACCCCTCCTGTGTACAGGTCCCCCCAGGGGAACACCACGGCGCCCAGCCCGGTCTGCGCCTCACACCAGATGATGTCCGCAGTTGCTAGGACCGGTTCAGCAGCCTGTTTTGAACGTCCTCCAGAACCTGCCTGAAGAGTTCCTCACGGGACTTCGTGCCGTCTAAATAGACTGGAACCGGAAAAGACCTGTGTCAGGGCTGGGCCGCAGGTGGGGTGGGGCCGTGCACTCTTCGGACCCCAGGGAGACTGGGGGTGAGACTCGGGCGACTCCCAGGCTTACCCACTTCCACTCCGTCCTGCTCCATCTCCCGTTTATACTTCTGGTACATGGGCCACACGTGACCATCAAAGAGGCCAGGGGGATCAGGGACCATGTAACTACGGTTACTGGAGTGAGAGAAAGAGGCAGCGGGACTGTTAGTGCAGGGCGGTGCTCCACAGACCTTGGGTGGGGGACCCCGACTTCCACACCTTCCCACCACTGAGCTGAGCCTGAGATGCGTGGGAAAGGGTGGGGTGGGCTCCCGGGACTGTGCCCCACGGACATCCCCTGTCCCTGCAACCCACCTCCTCCTCCGCTTGCATTCCTCATACGGGACAGTCAGAAAGTAGCGATGGCTGTACATGTCCACCAGGGGCCTGGTCGGGGAGGTCACAGGTCAACTGACACCCCTGCAGCACCCGCAAGTCTCCCAGCGTTCAAACCCGCTCTACTTCCGCGGTCCAAACAGAGAGGTGCTCAGGGCCCAAGGTCACACAGCACGGCAGCTCAGCCTGGGGACCCGAGCCCTCGAAGGTTCTCTGGGGTTCTTGGCGACACCAGGCTTACTTGTAGCTGTACAGTAGGAAGCCGTCCAGGAGGAGAATGTGGGTGTCCGAGGCGCTGGGCTGGAGGCTGACGCCGTGAGCGCGCGCGAACTTGCATGGGTCCTTCACCCAGGCGCGCACTGTGCTGAGCATGGCCTCCATATCCAGGGACTCGAGCACTAGTGGGAAGATGACGGAGTTCAGACGGGGATGCGGAACAGGGACAGAGGGGGCGAGGGGGGACAGACGGGGCAGAGGGGGGACAGACGGGGCGGGGGGGACGACAGACGGGACAGTGGGGGACAGATGGAGCAGAGGGGGGGACAGGCGGGGCAGGGGCGACAGATAAAGCAGAGGGGCACAGATGGGACGGGGCGGGGGACAGAAGAGGCAGGGGATGACAGACAGGGCACAGGGCAGTACCACAGGGCGCAGTGGGGGCCACAGACGGGGCGGGGGAGGGGGGACGAATAGGGCACTTACCGTCCCACTGTTTGAAGCCGTCCTCCCCAACCGCTATTTGGTCCTGGGGCTGAAAGACAGGACCCCAAGTCCGGGCTTAGATCTGCACCTACCCAGCCTTCGTCACCCCTCTGGGGGCCTCTGGGGCTGCCCCGCCATGAGCCTGGGGAAGCTTGGGGTCCTGAGGGGGTGGAGGTTGTGTTGGAGACTCTCCCTGCCTATCGCCTGTCACTCCTTCCTTCTGAGCCCATTGCACAGAAGGGAAAGCAAAGGCTTAAAGGGTCACGAGCTAAAAACAAACAAGAAAACCCAGCATGCCACAGTGAAGCCACCCCCGTTAGCCTAGCAGGGTTCCCCGGCACAAGGGATTGATCCTTTTGGGGATGTGCAGGTCAATGGGAACGCCCTGCCTTGTGTCCTCTCCAGCCCACCACCCCAGCGCAGGGCAGCCACCTTGAAGAAGTCATCCTGGTGGATCACGCAGCAGTTGGGTAGCGCTTTGTGGAGGCGGTTGGTCAAGGTGCTCTTCCCGCCGTTGGTCATGCTGCAAGGGTGCATGCGTGAGGTCGAGGGGGTGACGCCAGGGCCCAGTGACCTGAGCAGGCTCTCCCACTGTGCTGCTCCTGCCTAGTAGGGTGGTGTGCGTGTGTGTGTGTGTGTGTGTGTGTGTGTGTGTGCGCGCGCATGTGTGCGTGCACGTGTGTCTGCGTTGTGCGAGTGTGTGCGCGCGTCTGTGTTGTCAGTGTGCGTGTGTCTGTGTGTGAGAACATGGGGGGGGGAATCAAGCTCCTGTGGTCAGGGTGGAGCCCCACCTAGAATCCCCCAGTGAGGGGCTGGGGGCGTGGTCAGGGTGGAGCCCCACCTAGAATCTCCCAGTGAGGGGCTGGGGCGTGGTCAGGGTGGAGCCCCACCTAGAATCTCCCAGTGAGGGGCTGGGGACGTGGTCAGGGCAGAGCCCTGCCTTAGGGACAGCAGGGCAGTAGGTCATGGCATCCTGGCTCTTAGGGTGACTGAGGTGGGGACTCAGGTCACCCTCAACCATTCTGGAGACATGGTTGTTTGCAGTCATGGTTCTGATGGCCCCCATGTGGTGGGGTCGTGGGGTCCCTTACAAGAAGGTCTATCTTAACCAGGCATGGAGGCACACCCAGCTGAGGGCTAAGACAGGAGGATCTTCAGTTCTGGGCTAGTCTGAGCCACAAAGTGAGTTCAAGACCAGCCTGTGTGACTATGTGGAACTCCATCTCAATATTAAAAGTAAAAAGAGGGCTGGGCGGTAGCCAGTGCTGAGGGCTTGCTTTGTAAGCCTGAGGCCCTAGATCTACCGTCTTGCCTCAGAATAAAATAAAACAAACCCGGGGTGTTCATCTTGCCCTGTCCAGGCATCTGCCCCCATCCTCACAGGGCTGGTCCCCAGGTTTCCAGCAGGTCTCCCCATCTCTTCCCAGGACTTTTAAAAACAATCTACTGAGGTACAGCCCCTGTGCCCTCTATGATCACAAAGCCCCCCACACCCCTCAAGCCAACCGTCCCCAAGCGCTCAGACCGTGGGCAGCAGCAGCAGCCGCCTTCCCAGGGCCTCAGGGCCTTTCCCCTCCCAGTACAGGTCACACGCCAGGCCCCCAGGGCTCACCCTCCAATGCCCACGATGACCTTCATGCTGGGGACTAGTCGTGACCTGGTCCTGACCTGCAGAATGCTGCTTGGGGGAGTTCCGGCCTCATTGACAAAGCCCTAAGCCTTTATAGGTTTGGGCAGCCTGGAGGCTGCCCCAGGGGAGGAAGTACCCCAAGCTGGGGGTGTGGGGGGAGCACCTGTTTCGCAGGCTGCAAATAGCTTCGGTAAGGTAGCCTTTTGCCTAAATTAGTCAGGAGCCGGAGGGCAGAGGAACAGCAGCCAACTTCCATCCTATGCCCCTGTGTCTGCCTCCCCTCCTCCCTCCCTTCTCTTCCCCCTCCTCCCCATTCTACCCGGTCACACCTTTCTATCCCTAAAAATATCGGCCTAAGTTTGTGTTCCCTGGCTTGACCCCGACATTGAGACTGGTTCTTATGGGGCCAAAAAAAGAGACTGCTTCTTCTGTCCCCCCCCCCCCCCCCCCCCCGCCCGCCGCCAGCCCCAGCGAGGCCCTGCCAGGAAATCCAAAAGTGTCGTGGCTAACGTGGGCCTCGGCTCGGGATGGTGACTCACATGACTGCCTTGCTCTGGTGGCCTTTTCAGTGTGACCCTGTCATTGTGAATACATGTGACCACAGTCATTGAGGTCAGGCTCGGGGGAGCCAAGGTGGGGTTTTGTGCACACCCCATTCTTTGTGTGTGTGCAGCCATGTACGGAGGCAGGGGGTCTATGCCAGGTGTCTTCTGGGGTCTTCCTATGGTTGGGGCCTCTGCTTCCTGAGTGCTGGGATTAAAGGTGTGCATCACCTTTAATTTTATTTTTGTGTGTATGTATGTTGTCCGTTTGTGTACCACAGGCATGCTTGGTACCCAGGAGGCCAGAAGGGGTGTCAGGTCCCCTGGAGCTGGAGACACAGGTGGCCTTGGGAGCAGCAGGTGCACTAACCAGTTCTTTCTGAGGTGGGGGGTCTCACTGAGCTGGGTTATCTAGTCAATGACCCCCAGGGACCCTCCCTTTTCTGCCTCCCCAGCGCTGAGTTCCGGGTACCACCACTGTGCCTGCCTTGTGACTGAGACAGAAAGATACAGTGGCTGGACCCGGAGCCACGGGGTGGGAATGACGGCCCGGGACTGACTGAACGAAGGGGTTAGGGGGCCAATGGGTGCCATGTGAGCCTGCATGCAATGGAAGGGCCCACCCAGCCTTCATCCTGTCCTCCCCAGGGCCTGGAAGGACCCGACACATCTGGGTGACCGCACACTGGTCGAGTCTCCATCCATACCCCAGGCTGGTCTGGAATTCTCTGTAATCCTCCTGCCTCAGCAGCCTCCTGAAGGCAGGGACATCAGGCATAGGTCACCATGACCCCATCATGTCTTGTGGGTGACACCCAACATGGCCGTGCCCAAGTGTCTCTGGTCTCCTGCCATTCTGTGTGTCCCCAGGTCCAGGCTGTGGAGCCGAGGTCCTTGGAAGTTTGCCAGCCCCCATTCTTCTGGAGCAAAGGGAGAGCAGTGGTCTCCCCCGTCTCCGCTTGGCTGCTGTCACAATGACGGGAGGTTATGCCCACACCCCTCACCACCCACACCTGGGAGCACAGAGGGACCAACTCTCCCTCTGTATTATAATTTATTTCACATAAAATCCCCCCCCCCCAGCTTGCCAGTCATCACAGCGACTGTCCCCGCCGTCTCCATGTTTATATCTACACAACTCGCTGGTGGAAGGTGGGCACTCTTCTCGGCAAGTCTTCAATGGATCCCGGGGCATCTCTGTAAAGAAATTCAGCGGCCCTTCACCAGGAGCCGCTGGGCCTTTTCCTCTCGCCTCAGACTGTCCCCTGGCTACCTGAAGTGGTGGCCCTGTGTGGACTGGGATATTAAGCAATGCAGGGTCTTTCTCCTGTTTTGGGGTCCTCTGTGGCTGTGGTTCTGGGACCTGCTTCCCTGGGTCGGTGGGTGCTGGTGATCTCAAAGGGGTGGTGGCTGCCGTGGCGGCGGGGGTGGGGTGGGGTGTGGGCTGCCGTGGCTCAGCCTCCATTAGTTTCCCAGGGTTGGGGGAAGGATGTCAGACCCTTGAGGGCTGGGAGGATTATGCTCGTCCATCCGTCCCTGCCACAGCTGTCCTCATGCCATAGGCATCGGTTGTCACCCGAAGCCACCAGGTAGGAAAAGCCTGTAGGATGGATTCTGTTTCCAACAGCCAAGAGAGGCCATCCATGGGCGTCAATCTGGGGCGCCATCTGGGTTCCCCTCTTCTATCTGATGTTAGATAAATACAACTTGGGGGTATACACCTGCCAGGCCTGCTCTCAGGAGAGTGAGGCAGGAGGATCGGGAGTTTGAGGCCACACTGATCCTGGCTCAAAACAAAACCAAACCCAGTGCCCTGCACAACTCTATCAGGTCCTTCTGAGGCCCAGGCGTGTGGTGCGTCCCCAGCAGAACTCAAATCCTTGGGTGCTGTTGGTCAGAGATTGTGACTCTCCAGGTGGAAGCTGCTCTCCTGCGGCTGCCAGAGGTTCAAGAGTGAGAGGCAGAGGCATGTCACAGAGGCCAAACACCTCACGGTGGGATGGATGGAACCCAGCTTTGGAGAAGGCAAGGACCAGTGTTTGGTGGACGGGTACCCCTCTGTAGACCAGGCTGTCCAGGAACTCACTGAGATCCTGGGGTTAAAGATGTGTGCCACCAAGTCTTCAGGGGACCCCTCCTCATAAATGGCACCCGGTCTTAGTGCCCCTGGAGACAGGAGGCTTGCTTCTTACACTCCCATGGTGTCCGAACACCTTTAGTCCCAACTGTCCCGTCATTGAGGTAAATCTGCTCTTCGGAAAGTGTGTGAAGGTCAGGTGGCCTCAGTGTCCCGCCCACTGGGACATATTTCCCTAGGAGATCCCCCAGATCCTCTAGCACCCACAACCCTGTATCTTCATTTTTTTTTTTTTTTTTTTATGTACTCGTACACTGAGCTGGCTTCTCCTGCTTGGTGACACAGGCCTAAGACTGGCCCGGGCAGGGGACAGAAATGTGGACACAACTTCTCTGAGAAGGAGGTGTGAGTTAAAGTCTCCAGGACTCACAGCTACTTTAAAGGGCTAGAAAATGTTCCAGATTGTGGGGAAGAGGGTTTGGGGACCACCAGGTGGACCAGCATGTGTGCAATGGGCTTGAAGGGCCCTGAAGACGTCAAATGGCAGAATGGGGGTGTCAGTGAGGATGTCAGGTAAGCAGTTACAGCCCTGCTTGGGGTGACAGGGAAAGGGGACAGTGGGTCTCATTCCACAGAGAAGCAGACGCAGCCCCAGCTGGGGCCACCAGGAATCCAAGGCTCCAGCTAGGGACAGGTGAGAGCTGAGCAATGGTCTCTCGTGGGTCAGTGAAAACGCACGCTTGTGCCATCTCAGGTGGGGCTGTGGAGGTCTGGAGGAAGAGCCGGAGTCACACAGGAACAGGGCAACGCCGTTCATGTCCAGCCCTGCCAACCACAAGCTCAGAGTATGGAAGGGTAGAGGCCAAGGACCCAGTTCATTCCAGAAGGTGGCACACATCTCAATAAAAACCATGAGGTGGACTCAAGCAGCGGAAGACACCAGGGGGCGAAGAGGGGGACGAAGGAGCCGGACATCCTCCAACGATGGACACAGGATGAGGCAGGATGAAGTCTGGGGCCGTCAGGCCTCTGATGGAGGTTATGTGGTGTCTGGAATCTTCTCTCTGTCTCCAGGTTCCAGTTGAATCAGGACATGCTGAAGAGTACAGGACAAGCAAGGTGGGATCAGTGTCTGAGGCGAAGGTGAGCTTCCACAGGAAAACTCAGAGTCAGCTATCTGGCTAGGAGAGCTCGGAGCAAAAAGCAATGGTTGCCACCAACATTCCAAATGCAGATCAGAAGATGATTCTCCTCCCAGGGCAACAGCAATAAAGATCTGTGGACTCCTACACATCCACCCACCCATCCACCCATCCACCCACCCATCCATCCACCCACACATCCATCCACCCATCCATCCCTCCTTTCTCTGAGTTTCATCTGAGCCTGGCAGTGTGTGGGTGCTCTCTGGTCATGACCACCATGTCCCAAAATCAGGAAACAGATGCACACCTGTCTCTCATGCCACCTGCCGGGCCAAGCATACAAATCTTCACCCAGACTGAACTGCACTCGGGACATTCCAAGAAAACCCGCTGACACCCCGTGCTACACCCACCTCACTTCCTGGTCTTCTGTCTCTTCTGCTGACCTGTGATGGGGAGGAGAGGGTGTTAGTTGCCTGTTCGAGACCCTAGGCGATTCCCATTTATTGCTCATGGCTGGAAATCTCCACAGGAAGGCGGCCACCCCGCTGCGTTTTTCTAACAGAAAACAGGTGTCAGCCTGCACCTGCCCTTAAAGGGACAGGCCAAACAGACAAAAATGAGGGGACTAGAGGAGCTGCCTGGGTGTCACCTAGCTTGGGAAGGTGCTAACTACGCCCATCTTCTTCCCTGCCGTGGCCCGCCATCCCTTTGTGCTTTTACCTGTCCTCTTCTTCCACCATCTCTGGTTTTTCTTCGGATCTGGGAACGAGGAACTCTGGTTGTATTGGTGGTCGTGCGCTGTGATAGACAGAACCAGGTGACAAGGATGGGAGGCGGCTGGGGCTGAGGCAGGATCTCTGGGATCCCACCAGCCCCTCAAGTATGGACCGATGTTAGCATTTTGTTTCTGGTGTGTTGGAGGGAGCTGGTGGCCCAGGATAGGACAAGCGTGAGTTGTAACACAAGGGCTCCTGTCCCGCCCCCCCCCCTTGAAAATAGGGTGTGGTAGCCTGTAACTCCCTACGTAGCTGAGGATGACTCCTGATCCTCCTGTCTCCTCACGCCGATTGCAGGCAGGCTGGATATGTGGCACTGGGGACGGCCCCAGCGAGCCCAGCGCTCTACCATCTGAGCTACGGTCCCAGGTTCATGTTTGGAAGGTCTGGGTGGTGGGAGGAGAAAGAGATACACAGAGCCCGGCTTGCTGGCTCCTGCCTCCCATCCCAGCACTGGGGACACTGAGGCATGGGATCCCAGGCCAGCCTGGGCCGCCAAATACCTTGTCCCAAGGAAGAAAAACAGTGGGTCTCTGCACTAAGGAAGAGGCCACCAGAGTCTGGGGGGGACTAGGCGGGGAACCACTGGGCTCCACCCACTGCTGTGGGGTCTTTCCCATGAGATCCCTGGACTGTTACCCGGTCACGAAAAGGATTATAGCTCTGGTACCACGCCAACATGGATGGCGCGGGAACTCGGAGCGCAGCAGTTTTAACGGGACATTTGGGAGGACTAGCATGGCAGGACCCACTCCCAGGAGGTCCCAAGAGCCACACAGACGGGGGTATCGGGGGTGGGAGGGGCATCGAGAACAGATGGACAGGGAGTTAATGTGAGATGGGGGTGGAGCGTCTCTGGGATACAGAAGGTTCTGAGGGGCTGCGGGAGTGCACAGCCCTGTGACTGGGCTCTGCTGTGCCCAGCTGCAGGCTGGGATAGGCGAGGGGCAGAGTTTTACTCGCTGACTTTTAAAGATGGACAAGACGGTAGAAAGAGGCAACAGAGAGAAACTTACAGGGACCTCATCTCGAGCTCGGGCCGTTGTGTGGCAGCCCGAGCCCCTGGGCATGGTCACCAAAGGTCACCCCTTTGGTTCTCTGGGCTGAGTAAAGTCCTCAAACTAAATAGGGGGCAGGGCCCAGTGAGCTGGCTCGGCAGGTAAAGGCGCAAGCTGCCGAGTCTGGCAACCCAAGTTTGATCCCATTTGATGGAAGGGGACCCTGGCTCCCCTCAAGTGACCTCCACATGTGTGCTGTGGTTTGCATGCACGCACGCACGCGCGCGCGCACACACACACCCAACACAGACAGATAAATAACATCTGATGGATGACCAAGGCGGGGTGTGAATCCATGGCTGTCTCCAGAGGCCTCGTCTGAAAGGCAGGTCTCTGGGTGTGTATGAGGTCGTGTGGACCTCTGCGTATGTGAGGAAGTCATGTCAGTCGTTGCCCTGGGTACTGAATCGCAGTTGTCAGGTCTGGGAGCAAGCCCTTTTACTGGCCAAGCCATCTTGCTGGCCCAAATCACGTCATGTTTTTAAAATGGGGTTTCTCACTGAGCCCGGGGATCGCTGACTCAGGTAGGCTGCTGGCCTATGAGCCCCAGGGTCCCATCTCCATCTCCCCAGTGATTACAAATGGGAACCACAGGCCCAGCAGGTTACATGAGTACTGGGGTACAAGTGGGTCTTCACACTTGCCCGCATCAGGTTTTCCACTGAAGGCCGAGCCAAGCCGGTGGGGACATCGGTTGCTCTCACCAAGCAAAAGCCACCAAACCACCCCTCAGATCCCTCAGGAGCTGTGCCTCACTGACCTCTCTCTCTTGGCTCTGAGTCTCTGTTCTTCGTACCTGAGGGAAAGAAAAAACACAAGCAGGGAGTCAGACTCGGACACGGCTGCCAGGGCCACGGAGCTGAAGGGGAGGGCGGGTGCCAGGGATTGCGGACTGAGCTTCACGCTGAGCTGTGATATGGTTCAATGTGAGCGCGCGCGTGTGAGTGTGTGCAGTACCCGCGGGGGCGGGAAGGGGGCATCGGGTCCCCGGGGCTGTACCTCGCGCGCGTGCAGTACCCAGAACTGGAGTCACGCAGGGGTTGTGAGCCCCTTGTGGATGATGGGAGCCCACTGAGCCCTCTGCAGGGGCAGCCGGTGTGCTAACCGCTGAGCTGTCTCTCCAGCCCCCCAGTGTAAGCAGCAATGGAAAGGAAGCCGCTGGGGGGTGTTTCGCGGCTGGAAGCAGCGCTGGTGGCAGACTGCCTGCGTGGGGACCCCGAGGGACACTCACTGCAGGACACACTCGGGCAGCTGCACGTGCTCCATGGGGATGAGTCGCTCCAGCTCCTCCAGGCTGTGCACGTACTGGATCTTACTGATGAACTTGACACTGGCGGACACAGGAGGGCAGACAAGGGGTCACCAGGCAGAGCCGGGCCGGGCCCTGCCCAACCCGCCAAGTCGCCCATGCTGGCCTGGAACCCTCCTGCCTCAGCACGACTGTGATGAACAACGAACACCTCAGATGTGTTCTTTTTAGAATCATTTTGTCACGTTTCTTTACTGCGCATGAGCGAGCAAAACAAGGGGACACCTTGAGGGCGTCGGCTCCCTCCGTCCCACAGGTGGTCGTGGGGATTAAACTTAGGCTGTCAGGGCCTGGCAGCAAGCTCCTGTACTAATAGAGCCACATCTCGCCAGCCCTTCAAGCGTATTCTTAAAAATAAAAAGTAGAATTCTCCTCCGAGCCTGGTGACGCCTGTCATTCCGGCACTCATGGGACTGAGGCCTGAGGATTGCCATTTCAGCACTGACCCATGCTACACAGGGAGACACAGGGCCAGAGCAGAAGGCTCTATTGTGCAAGTGTCAGGACATGAGTTCAAATCCACAGCATGTGCATAAAACACTAGGCGTGGTGCTGGGGAGGCTGAGACAGGAGGATCGCTGCATTTGGCTGGATCAGTGAGTCTTGGGGCCCCAAACCATGTGGTTAGTGGAATCGCACCGACCGACCCGCAGAACACACACAGGGCACAGCGCCAGGCGGGTCCCACCTGATGAAGGGCCGGGAGATGGCCAGCACGGTGCGGATGAACCATGACGGGTGCACAATGATCAGAGACTTCAGATTCTTCCTCAGTCTGTGTGGGGAGGCGAGGACGACACTGTCACAGGCTTGGGGCGCAGGGAGCCCCCCGGGGACAAGATGGACGGCTTACCCACCATCCCTCCGCAGTCTGCCATCCCAAGTCCTCTTAGCTGACTGCACCCTCACAGCACGAGAATTTGGAGGCCCTGGGACTCATCAACACCAGGCAGCAGTGTGGACTTTCATGCCCGCTCGCGCGCGCACACACACACACACACACACACACACACACACACACACACACCACAGTCCTGAATTCTAGGAAGTGTTTGTAGGTTTCAAAAATCTGTCAGAAGCTATTCATAAAACCCAAAAGAGAGAGACAGCCCAGCATTTACTCACAGACGGACAGACTGAAACAATACAGTTTGATCACAGGCTGGACTATTACTCAGCCGTGCACAAGAAAAGGCCCTTTTTTTCTGACACCTCTAGAGAGGACGACCCTTGAGGACTCAATGCGCTAAGGCGTGGATCAGACACGGAAGGACACACAGCACGGTGCCTCCCTCTGCAGGGGTCCCTAGAGTCCTCCTCAGTCACCAGCAGATACTGGCAGGACCCTCCCTGACTTTCTCCCTCGGTGCCCTCCTCCTCCTCTCACCTCCTGTCAATCATGTGGTAACACTTCTTCAGCCAGCCGATGCCGGGCATCCTCCTCCGGGGCGTGGCGCCGTTTAGATACACGATCATGTAGTCTTCGGCGACGAGCAGTTCCAGGCTGCTGATGACGTACCTGCGGTGGGGGGACAGGGTTCCCATGTGAGGCACCGAGTGTGGGGCCTTCCTGCAGCCCTGCCGGGCCGGGCCAGCCACACCCCAGCAGGCGTGGGCGTGCCCATTGGTGGGCTCCCGAACAGTCTGGAAGGGACCTGGGCCTGAGACGCCACCCAGGGCCCCCGCCTCCATCGCCAGCGCCGCCCCCCAAGACAGCAGAGAACCCCAACTCTTCTCTCTGAGCTCCAAGGGCCGTCATCCTCCTTGTTGCGTGGGTTTTGGGAAACGCGGTCTTGCTTTGTAGACCAGGCTAGCCTTGAAGTCATAGAGCTCAGCCACCTCTGCCTCCCCAGTGCTGACTTACAGGAAGAGATTCTCCATGATGTAGTGATAGTCGGGGGAGCTGCTGTCTGGGAGGAAGCAGGCTGCGAAGACGATGATGGCGTTGAGGCCTTCCCCGTAGTACCCTGGGAAGGAGGCATCCTGTGAGTGTCACGGTAGCCCAGGTTAGACCACATTTCCTCCCTGAGCAGCGTCTCCCGGTGGGGGAGATGATGCCCAGTGTGCCAGCCCCTGCGCACCCCAGCTGGACAGGCCCCCCATGGAGAACCACTGTCCGCGGTGACCTCGTGGGGGCGAGGTCGCGGGGTGCACACACCTCCGTGGGTGACCACCTTCATGTACGGCCGGATCATGTGCAGGTCGATGCGATGCTCCTGCTCCCCGATGATGACAGTCCGCCACAAGCGACCGTTGGCTGCGCTGCCATCGTCCGCAGCGCTGTCCCCAAACAGGTCCGCGCTGTCTCCCGGCATGTTCTTGGCAGTGGCCACTGGGGTGTCGTCTGCAGTGGGGGGTGTGAATCCAGCATGGATCCAGCCCTCCCCCCACGAGGGTTAATCTGTGAATCCTGGGAGCTCTGGGAACACCTGAGGTGACCTAGCTTGGGATAACCGCCCTGAAGGCGGCGCTGTCCCATCCCAGGAGCTGAGGCCTCCCCGCCACGATGGTCTGTAGCCTCCAGCGGTCAGTCAGAATAAACCCGTCTTCCCTGGTTGTTTGTGTGTAAGGTTTGTCGCAGCCACGAGAAAAGTGGTAACCACCTGCCTGCTTCACTCTGGCTACACCGCCGTCTCCTGCCGGAAGCCCTCCGTGATTGCACCTGAGCTAACCGCTGACCACCCCTGTTTCTCTTCCTTCCTTTTTTTTTTTTTTAAATCAAGCGTGATGCTGCATGCTTTTAATCCTGGCACTCAGAGGCCAGTGGATCTTGTGAGTTTTTCTGAGGCCACCCTGGGGATTATATAGTGTGTGTCTCCAAGAAAAAGCAAATAAATAATAATGATAAATAAGATTAAAATGGCCTCCCAGCGCATGACCCTCCCTAGCTACCTGTTAGAACTGCTTGAACCCAGCTCATTCCCCCTCCTGGGCCCTGCAGGGAGCTGAGCACAAATATTCTGTCCCTGTACGTGGGTCACTCGCTGACTGATGTCTGGGGATGTGTGTGGCCCTTGTGGAGCCTGGAAGAGGCCAGGGAGGGACAGTCCTGAATGCGCAAACCACTCCTGGTTTACGTGGGCTTCGCTCATGCCTATTCTAGATCCTCCTGTGGACGTCTAGTTCCCTCTGCCCACCCCACCCTCGCAAGCCCGTAGGTAGCGTCCCTCTGAACCTCGCTGGGCTGTGAGAATCCTGTGACAAATCACAGGTCTGTGGGACCAGACATTGTGGGTCCTAGGGCCAACGCCGTCTCCTGGAGCTGGGCTGGCGAGGAGGAGGCTGGAGAAGCCGCAGGGGGACAGGGCGGGGACCCCACCGTTACCTTCCCACTCAAGCTCATTGCCATTTCCCAGGAACTCCAGCGAGTCGGTCTCGTCCGGCGTCTCGATGTCGTCCACGTTGATGTCCAAGTCATCTGGCGTGTCCAGGAAGTCGTCGGACAGCAGGGAGCCCTCGCTCTGGTCCAGGGAGATGTTGATCTCCGGGGCCACTAGGGTCTTTCTCTTCCGATGTGCTCCGCCCAAGTTTAGGGTTGAGGGAGGAGCTGCGGGGACCCACAAGTGTGAAAGATTGCTCGCACCCCACCCGTCCAGACAGGCTCTCCGTAGCCCAGGCTAGCCTCAGAACGCCTCTCGTGTCCCCTCCCCAATGCTGGGTGAGCGTCTGCCCGTGGAGCGCAGCCTCCGCAATGTGACCTCTTTCTCGGGAAGTTTCTGTCCCACCCCCACGCGTTGTCCCTAAACCTAAGTCCACCCAGAACGAGCTCAATGCGGCTGGGTCTTCTGAGAGGACCAGAGGGAGAAGTCACACCGAGGTATCACAACTGAGAAAATGCCCACTAGACTGACATGGGAGGGCTGAGCCCACTGTGGGTGGGGTCACCCAGGCAGGGGTCCTGAGTGCTGTAAAAGCAGAATCATCTCCAGAGAGGCGTCATTCAGCAAGTGGTGGGAACAGACACAGACCCACAGTCCAGCACTGGGGGGAGCTCCGGACCCCGAAGAAGAGTGGGAGGAAGGGTTGTGGGAGCCAGAGGGGTCAAGAACACCACAAGAAAACCCACGGAATCAACTAACCTGGGCTCATAGGAACTGAGACACTGAATCAACCAGGGAGCCTGCATGGGACTGACCGGCGCTCTGCATATATGTGAGAGGTGTGTGGCTTGGTCCTCGTGTGGGACTCCTAACAGCTGGAACAGGGGCTGTCTCTGACATCTCTGTGTGATAGTCCTGGCGTCCGGGAACTCACTCTGTAGACCAGGCTGCCCTCGAACTACAGAGATCCGCTTGCCTCTGCCTCCTGAGTGCTGGGATTAAAGGCGTGCGCCACCACTGCCAGGCTATCTCCTGACTCTTTTTCTGGCTTCGGGGACCCTACTCCTCATACTGGGCTCCCTCCACCAGCCTTAACATGCTGGTTGGTGCCGAGTCTTACTGTAACTTGTTTTACTACTGATATCCCTGGGAGGCCTGCTCTTTTCTGCCTGGAAAGAGATGAGGAGTAGATGGGACGGGGAAGACTGGGAGGAGAGGAGGGAGGGGAGGCAAACTGCTGAACTTGAAAAAGAGCGAGCAGGCTGAGAAGCAGGGGGAGGCGGGAGCACCCAGGAAGCAGCACCTCTCCGTGGCCTCTGCTTCAGCTCCCGCTTCCAGGTTCCTGCCCCAACGTCCCTCGTGGTGAACTGTGACATGGAAGTATAAGCCACACAAGCACTGTCCTCCCCACGCTGGTTCTGGTCACCATGTTTACACAGGCACAGAAAGCACACTAGGACAGCTCCCGAATGTCTGAAGTGGGCAGCTTAAAGGACAGGGGGCCTGGCCCCAGAGTCTGTGCTCAGTGAAGGGCCAACCACAGTGCTCTAGGGAAGCCCTCATCTACAGTCACTGCGTGGACCCACGCTCCCGGAGGTCTTCATACAAGCCTGTCATTCCACCGACGACACACTGAGGCAGAGGCAGCCTGGCCTTGACAGATTTCTCAATCGTAGGACTGAAAAACCTTTTCAACAATCAGATGACCCCGCCTGGTGGCTTTATTCTCAGAGACCTCGTGGTGGACACAGAGAACTGACTGCCATAAGCTGTTCTTCCAAATCCACGTGTGACACCCAACAACCCACAATACACACCTTGAGGGTGTGGCCAGCCTAGAATCCCCAGCGAGGGGCTGGGGGCGTGGTCAGGGTGGATCCCCGCCTAGAATCCCCCAGTGAGGGGCTGGGGGTGTGGTCAGGTGCAGCTCCCTCCTCCTCATTGCAATGGCCCTCTGTTCCGTTCCTGGTACCAAGGAAAACTATTTAAGACTCATTAGGGCTCCTCTCTTGTCTCTTTCCCTTTAGCTACCTAGTCTCTGCAGAGTCAGTCAGAGCTGCCTCTTTGGGAGTTTGAAATAAAAGTAAACTTTCCAAGAAAATTCTAAACTAGCCACCATTGGTGCCACCTACTCAGGAAGAAGTTTGTTTTTAGGTGTCACGTGACTGTTTAGCGGAAGTGAGTCCACATCTCCCCCCCCACACACACACCTCAGAGTGTAGGTGATTACTGTCTCTGAGAAGCCACCCTGCAAATCCAGGGCTGCAACCCTCTGCCTCCCTCCCAGAAGAGGGTGGAGCCTCCGGATCCATGAGGTTTGCTAAAAGGCTACCGACTCTTCCCTCAGGGCAGCATCAAAATCATGGCTCAGGGTCACATGTGGAGGTGACGCTCATGACCAACAGCACAAAGGGACCAAAGGATGGTATGTGAGGTGAAGGGTGTTATTGTCAAGCCTTAATGTTAAATAGCATTGTGTGTGTGTGTGTGTGTGTGTGTGTGTGAGAGAGAGAGAGAGAGAGAGAGAGAGAGAGAGAGAGAGAGAGAGAGCAGGCCAGGCATTGTGGTGCACACCTTTAATCCCAGTAAAGCAAAGTCTCTGTGAGCTGTAGGCCAACCTGCTCTACTGAGCAAGTTCCTGCTCAACCTGCACAGTGAGACCATGTCTCAAAAAATGGTATTTGCCCCAACACACATGGGGGAAAAGGTTTTATTCTATAAAGAAACACGTAGAAGGCCCTCGAAAGCATGCCTGTCACCTAGTACTTGGGATGTGAAGGTAGGAGGATCAGCAATTCTGGGTCATCTTCAGCTACATAATAAATTTGAGCTAGCCTGGGCTTCATGACACCCTGTCTCAAAAAACAAACAAGCAAACAAAAAAAAATAAAGAGGTTAAAAAAGATGGAAAGAGACTAAGCTCCATCAGGAGCAGAAGCCAGGAGCAAACCCAGTTCTGGGACACGGGTGGATCAGGATTGAGCCAGCGACCAGATCCAGAGTCAATGGTCTCCACTGGAACAGATACAAAAGAGTAACCGCTGAGTGAGTGAGCCAGAGCCAGAGACTGCTGAGGGTCCAGACGTGAATCAGGGACCTTCAAGGGCGTAGACCTAAACCAACACGGGGGGGGGGGGGGGGGGGGGGCGGGGGGGGGGGGGGGGGGGGGGGGGGGCGGGTATCTGGACGAGAGTGTAGGATTTCCCAGGAACTAGGCTGGAGCCAGAACCTCTGTCAGCCTGGGCGTGAGTGAACCTGGGTCCTCCGAGGGAATAGGCAGGAACCAGAGATCTCAGCAGGGCCAGGCATGAGTCTGGGATCTCAAAGAGAGTAGGCCTGAGCCAGGACCTCTGTGGGTTCCGGCATTGGTCTGGGACATCAAAGGGAATAGGCAGGAACCTGGAACCCCTGCAGGTCTAAGCACGAGTCTGAGACCTCTGAGGAAGTAAGCAGGTCCTAGGTGGGTTGGGGCACACCAGAGCCTGGAACCATCGAGGCACACACCAGAACCAGAAACCTTTCCAGGTCCAACTCCAACCCAGGAGGGAATCCTGACCAGGCTTTACAGATACAGGTCAAAGCCAGTAACCTAGGCCAAAGTTGCCCCGAGGCAAGGAACTCCACCTTGGGCTACAAATTCCACAGGACCTGACTCAGAGTCTGCAACCTCACTGGAACCAGAGTGAGACTGAACCAGCTACCTAGGACACAGAGAGAAGAAGCTCCACCAGGAACAGAAACCAGGAGCAAACCCAGTCCTGGGACACTGGCGGACCAGGATTGAGCCAGCAACCTGACTCAGAGTCTGCGATCTCCACCACAACAGGTCCAACTCCAAGCCAGGGACTTCTGCAGTAGGAGATCCAGACCAAGATTTACAGAAACAGATCAAAGCCAGCAGCCTAGGCCAAAGTAGGCCTGAGACAGCAAACTCCAAGGGAGCAGAGCAAAGCACTGAGCTACCTCCTGGGACAGGAATAGTCAATGGGGTAACTAGAACGGTGACACTGACTGTACCATGAGGAACAACCATCTGAGCTTTGGATTCACTGGCATCTAGAAGATTATTCAACAGAATCTCACACAGCCCCAACCATACCTATTAGAGGAAAAGATGAGCAGAAAAGGTAAGAACACATGCTACACCACAAAGAGCAACACAACACCAGTAAAACCTAAAGACCCTATAACAGCAAGACCTGAACAACCAAATATGGATGAACCAGAAGAAAATTATCTAAAAAATAACCTCAAGAGAATGTTTGAAATTCTTAAAGATGAATTGAGAAATTACCTGAAAGAAATGGAGGAAAAAACAAACAAAAAATTTGGAAGATATCAACAAATCACTTAAGGAAAACCAAGAAAAAGAAGTGAAACATATAAAAGAACTATTCAGGACTTGAAAACTGAGATAGAAAAAAATAAAGAAAACACAAGCCACAGGAATTATAGAAACAGAAATCATGAGAAAAAGATCAGGAACCACAAATGCAAGCATGAACATCAGAATACAAGAGATGGAAGAGAGAATCTCAAGCGCTGAAGATACAATAGTGGAAATAGACTCATCAGTTAAAGAAAACATTAAATCTAACAAAAGCTTAACCCAAAATATCCATGAAATATGGGGCACCATAAAAAGGCAAAATCTTAGAATAATAGGTATAGAAATAAAGAGAAGTTCAACTCAAAGGCACAGAAAATTTATTTAACAAAATCATAGAAGAAAACTTTCCTTACCTAAAGAAAGATATGCCTATGAAGATACAAGAAGCTTACAGAACACCAAATAGACTGGATCCAAAAAAAAAAAGTCCTCTTGCCACATAATAATCAAAACACTAAACATACAGAGTAAAGAAAGAATATTAAGAGCTGCAAAGGGAAAAGGCCAAGTAACATATAAAGGTAAACCTATCAGAATTACACCTGACTTCTCAGTGGAGACAATGAAAGCCAGAAAGTCAAGCATTAAGAGAGACCATGGATGCCAGCCCAGACTACTATACCCAGCAAAACTGTCGACACCATAGAAGGACAAAATAAGATATTCCATGGCAAATCTAGATTTTACCAATACCTAGCCACAAACCCAGACCTACACAAAATACTAAAAGGAAAATTCCAGGGGGCTGGAGAGATGGCTCAGCAGTTAAGAGCATTGCCTGCTCTTCCAAAGGTCCTGAGTTCAATTCCCAGCAACAACATGGTGGCTCACAACCAT